TTAAATACATCCTAAAAATCAATGTACAGTAGCTAAATATACCAGTTTGCAGTCTCAGGAGAATAATAGTAAATCTAAAAGAACAAGATTGTATTTGGATCTTGGATTTATGGAGGAAAAAGTGAAAAGAAAAAAGAAAAAAAAAAAAACTGAACTTCTGTTTTATTCACTTTCCTGTTCCCATTTCTTTTCTGTTCATAAACTCCTCTACAAATGAAAGATCCAAATGCAACATAAATGTTCTAGGGAAACAAAATGCCAATTATTTTCATTTTAAACACTCCTATTCTAGAGAGAGAGAGAGAGAGAGCGAGAGAGGGGCCACTATTTAAAAAATTGCACAAAATATACCAAAATCTGGTCTAACTAAGAGTATGTGTATTGGAGGTCCTTACAGTTAATGGAATGGGCTCCGAAAAAGGCTCATAAGTAGAGAGCAAATCCTCATAAGTTGTCGACCAGCTGGGAAAAAAAAAAAACCGCAATTAATATTCACTAATTAGTCAATGAGCTAAAACCACGTTGGAGAGAAACACATGACATCAGTCAACAACACAAAATCTGTCATAATCTAAAATGGAGAATGATTCATATGCTTTGTCAGATCCTATATTTTTTTTCTTTCAAGACTATCCTCTATGTGCTGTCATCAATCTTTCTTGATCAGCTATGTGCTCACATCAATCTGACTTTTAAAACAAAACAACAATTCATTTATTCAAAGAAGAAATCAATGTATAAAAAACTTCAATTGGGGAGATGATCTTGAGAATCAATGGGAATAATCAACAGCCCATACTGTACGGGTCTGTAAGCAAAAAAAAAAATCTAATCTGATATCGAACATGTAGCACAAGCACCCTTTAATCGTGATACACAACATCAACATGATTGAGACACCACATAAGTTATCCAATGTAGGCCAACTCTCTGAGAATTCTGTAATGGTTAGAATGAAGACCATGCTTTACTGTTCTAAACCAAACACTCAGCTTATCAAAATTTCGGCCTCTCTCTCTCTGTCTGGATCCCTCATTTTCTTTTTCTTATTCTTTTTCATGAAATGAAGTTTCCGATGTTGAAGTGAATGGAGTTCAAATTTTGAAGCAAAATCATAGAATTACATTTTACTTAAAAGACATTATTCCAAGAACTTCAGACAGATCTATAATTCCTAGTACAATCCGTACTAATAGAAAAGTTACGGTGAATATATATAATCAACTTTATGTTCAATTATCAGTTACATCACAATTCACAACAAATTTCTTCAAAATTTGGCTATATTCACAGTATAAATTAAGATGACATTTGAATGATCATTTGCATCAAAGCTTGATTATTTTAACACATGTTCATGTAAATTGTTAAAATAAGTTTAGTACATCTCAGGCTAAGTTCAAATTTGTTTTATTAACTGACGTCAGAACTTTACTTGGCAAATGGCAGTGGGCCCCACCAGGATTGATTTGATGTTTTGGCCTTGGTGTTGTATTTTTTTTCTTTTTTTATTAAGTGCCATGTCATTAGTGGTCTTTTTAGAGTTCCAAAATTAGTGGTCTCCATCAGTGTGGAATGCATAGGAAAATGAGTGAGAGAACTAATTACTGCTATCACCAATGATGTGGCAGTGGGCCCCACCAGGATTGATTTGATGCTTTGGCCTTGGTGTTGTATTTTTTTTCTTTTTTCATTGAGTGCCATGTCATTAGTGGTCTTTTTAGAGTTCCAAAATTAGTGGTCTCTATCATTGTTGAATGCATAGGAAAATGAGCGAGAGCACTAATTAGTGCTATCACTAATGATGTGGCAGTGGGCCCCACCAGGAATGATTTGATGTTTTGGCCTAGGTGTTGTATTTTTTTTTCTTTTTCTATTGAGTGTAATGTCATTAGTGGTCTTTTTAGAGTTCCCAAATTAGTGGCCTCTATCATTGTTGAATGCATAGGAAAATGAGTGAGAACACTAATTAGTACTATCACTAATGATGTGGCAGTGGGCCCCACCAGGAATGATTTGATGTTTTGGCCTTGGTGTTGTATTTTTTTTCTTTTTTTATTGAGTGCCATGTCATTAGTGGTCTTTTTAGAGTTCCAAAATTAGTGGTCTCTATCATTGTTGAATGCATTGGAAAATGAGTGAGAGCACTAATTAGTGCTATCACTAATGATGCGGCAGTGGGCCCCACCAGGAATGATTTCATGTTTTGGCCTTGGGGTTGTATTTATTTTCTTTTTTTATTGAGTGCCATGCCATTAGTGTCTATTTGGAGTTCCAAAATTAGTTGTCTCCATCATTGTTGAATGCATAGAAAAATGAGTGAGAGCACTAATTAGTGCTATCACTAATGATGCGGCAGTGGTCCCCACCAGGAATGATTTGATGTTTTGGCATTGGTGTTGCATTTTTTTTCTTTTTTTATTGAGTGCCATGTCATTAGTGGTCCTTTTAGAGTTCCAAAATTAGTGGTCTCTATCTTTGTTGAATGCATAGGAAAATGAGTGAGAGCACTAATTAGTGCTATCACTAATGATGTGGCAATGGGCCCCACCAGGAATGATTTGATATTTTGGCCTTGGTGTTGTATTTATTTTCTTTTTTTATTGAGTGCCATGCCATTAGTGTCTTTTTAAAGTTCCAAAATTAGTGGTTTCTATCATTGAATGTGTTACATATATATATATATATATCATATTATATAAATTAATGTTATATATTATGCAAATACTTGATAATTGGTTCAAATATTCTCTAATTTGTCAATCAACCCAAAGCTACTCAAACTGCAATTTACCAATACGTTAATCCGTCATTCGGTTTATAATTTTACTATCAACGCCTCGCATTAATATCATAAAATAGTGAATAAAAATACATTAAGGTTTTGGTACAAATAATAGCTACAAACTAATGCCCCTACTTGTAGATCCCTAAAAATCTGCATCGACAAACAATCACATTACCACTAATTATTCTCTGTGGTTATACTGAAGAACTTCCTCCAACCCCTTTTCCATGTTTTACATTATCAAGAAATAGAAGAAATTGGCTAAAAGAACAGAATGTCAACTGATAATCTGCGGCGTTTAGAGGTCATAATTGGTATTTTATCACTGATTATCTAAATCATAGAGGCCATCGTCAAGCCAAATGTCAACTAAAAAATCTACCATCTCCTGCAAACTCCAACAATCAAATTCACATTAGTAAATACAAAAGGCTATGCACAGTCGAATGTAGAAAAATTCTCGAGCAAAGATTTTGAAATCATGTATTTAGGTCACACTTGATTGAAAAAAAAAAAAATCTATCTATTTGTTTCTTATTAGAACTGAAGCCAACAAGTTTTTCCCATGAATGAATCCTTCACCACAGTGTGAAAAATTAATAAGATACATGTTAAATACATCCTAAAAATCAATGTACAGTAGCTAAATATACCAGTTTGCAGTCTCAGGAGAATAATAGTAAATCTAAAAGAACAAGATTGTATTTGGATCTTGGATTTATGGAGGAAAAAGTGAAAAGAAAAAAGAAAAAAAAAAAAACTGAACTTCTGTTTTATTCACTTTCCTGTTCCCATTTCTTTTCTTTTCTGTAATGGTTAGAATGAGACACTCAGCTTATCAAAATTTCGGCCTCTCTCTCTCTCTCTGGATCCCACATTTTCTTTTTCTTATTCTTTTTCATGAAATGAAGTTTCCGATGCTCAAGTGAATGAAGTTCAAATTTTGAAGCAAAATCATAGATTTACATTTTACTTAAAAGACATTTTTCCAAGAACTTCAGACAGATCTATAATTCCTAGTACAATCCGTACTAATAGAAAAGTTACGGTGAATATATATAATCAACTTTATGCTCAATTATCAGTTACATCACAATTCACAACAAATTTCTTCAAAATTTGGCTAAATTCACAGTATAAATTAAGATGACATTTGAATGATCATTTGCATCAAAGCTTGATTATTTTAACACATGTTCATGTAAATTGTTAAAATAAGTTTAGTACATCTCAGGCTAAGTTCAAATTTGTTTTATTAACTGACGTCAGAACTTTACTTGGCAAATAATTTATTTTTTTTTGCTTTCCCTGAAATATTAGTTGTGGACAGTTTTTACTAATAGATTCTTTATTGCCTACGAAAGCCTAGATTTTTTTGAAGCCTTTCCTGCAAGTACAATTTCAGGAGTACTCAGAAGCTGCTAACATAGTAGCAACTAGCATGATGGTATGAACAAATTTTTCTTTAAATGCTAATGACATGACTAACCAAAATCAACAACAGATTTCAGTGGTACTCAAATAAGCTATGGGGAATGCATGTACCTTATAATTGGATCCTTCTGTATTCTTTTTGACCTTTGACTTTGATCACCAATCCATTCTTTTCTATTTTGTTGCCAAGCAATTGCAGCTACACAACACATTCAGCCATATCATACTCCATAACCCCACATTCAGCTACACAACACATTCAGCCAAAAAAAAAAAACAAACAAACAAACAAACAAAAAGGAGCAATCCTTTCCAATTAGAACTACTTATAAACATCAAAATGTTTAAAAATAAAAAAATAAAAAAATCTCATCCATAACACATTTTAAGTCTATGTTTGGATGGCCAAAATCTAGAGCGGGAATGAAAAGAAATCCCAGTCAAGTGCTTCGATAATTCAGGAATCTTATGCAAGAAAAAAATATTAAAATGCATTCAAGTGTTTGATTTAACCTTTTTAGAACATAGAAATGGAATAAGGTTTTATATAATTGTCTAAAACACTCATTGTTCATCACCTTGGACGAAAGAGAAAGTGGGAGAAGATTTCAAGAGAGAGAATAAGTGTTTCTATTTTTATTTTTTTTGATAAATATGAATAGGTGTTTCTATTTTATTAGGTGATATAGTCGGAATTTATTATTATTAGAGTCCACATTTTCTTTTTCTTTTTTCTAGATTGAGTTGGAATATGAGATTACCATTGGAGGAGGGTGGGGATTTGATTATTGCTTAGTTTGGAAAATGATTCTAGATTGAGCAAGTCATTAGGAATTACTTTCTTTTTCAATCCATTCCAAACAGTAGATTCATGGGACCCAGAATCACATTTCCGTTCACCTTCAACATTTTTGTCATCCACGAGCTACATCGAGGAAAGTAAAAAAAATTAAAGACCATATCATCCTATTCCCCCATCCAAGAATAAATGACCAAAATTTGTAAATGGATAAATCCACAACCTCCCCTCTCACATAGGTGGGCCCCACAACGTGTGAAAGTGCTGTGGATGCAGCCATAGAGGCTATGATCTGAGCATTTTCCATCTTGTATTATTTCCTTTTTCCTAAAATCAGTTTGTAGCAATCAGAAACTCCTCAACTCATGACATTAATCTGTATCTTAGTCTATGTTATGTGGACTCAGGTATCGATGCGGGTGTGTGTCTAAGCATTAAATCTTCCTAAATATTTGGATATTTGGACACATCCAAAAGTGGGTACAATAAGTAGAGACGTTTGGAATATTTAAATGTATTATATATTGTATGAATTATGACACAAGATGCTGTAAATTATGAGGAATATAATTGAATTTATAAGGGAAAAAGGGGGACTTCTATCTCTCATCAATGTTAGAGGCTAGAAAGTTTTATTTACTACCAAAATGTGAGTTTCTTCTTCTTGAAACATTGTAAGAATTAGAGGACTTACCCTAGTTAGAGCAATAAACTCTATGTACTTTTTAAAGCTGAATTGCTTTTGGAGGCTCATCACAGACTTATCCTAGTTAGAGTCAAAAGAAATGGATTTCACACGTTTCAAGAACTTTCTCCCATTCATCTGTAGCCTCCACTGGATAACAAAATTTCTCTTGTTGAATTTTCTTCTTGATGGCTCTGTGGTAGACTGCAGATTTTTTGCTCCCAATCCTTCACTTTTTCTTTCATCAAATTTAGATTTGATGAAAAAGTGCTCAAAAATCATCTCCAGTCCTTTCATCAAATGTTCATCCAATCAAGAGAGAGTCATTTTTTTCATCAAATTTGAATTTGATAAAAAATTAAAAAGATGAAGCGCTGGAGGTATTTTTTTCATCAAATTTGATAAAAGGGGAAATTTGGTACAAGAGGATTGATAAAAGGATTGGAGTAATTCATATCAAATCAAGCTTTTTACTTAAATTTGGAATCAAATTAGATGAAAAAATTGATGAATGATTGGAGATGCTTTATTCCTTTATATTTATGGTTAAATGAAATCATTAGTGAATGCAAATGACTCCTGGATGGAAAAATTCAGTAGGTTTTCAGACAGAAAATGACTGAGAAAAAGCACAAGAAATTAGGATTGACTTTCAGATAAAAGTTAAACTCAAACACACCACCCAACTCCTTTGTATATATATATGTATAATTATATATGTGAAATTAAATACGATGATAAAATAGAATGAGTTATCAAGTACTTACCATCCTCCCCACTAAAAGAAAAGAGTTAGTTTAATAATAGATGCACGAAAATTTTTGTCTCTTTATTACTTTAAAAACCACAACATTCCTGTAACAAAAAAAAACCACAACATAGACACAAACAGTTATATTTTGCTTTTGGTGCTATATTTCACTCGAGCAAATGACTTAATGGGAATAACAAAAGAACAAAAGCCCTCAACACCATTGTTAACTGATTATCTATTGCTATCCATCTTACAAAAGAGTGCAGAAGATTTACCATGATTGACAAATACAGAAGTGCTTCCACTGTTTTCTGTAAGCATTTTTACTTCATTGTCAGATGTAGAAACCTCTAATGATTGCTTCTCGTTGGAGAGGAAATTCCCAGTATTGCCTTCCATCGATACTGGACTGAATAACCATTCCCTATTGCTATGACACAATACTTGTTGACAAGTGTTTCTCTTTAACAGTCCTCACCAAGTTGTGTTACAAGGTATGGAAACTTGGAAAGCAGCAAGGTCTTGAATGCAACTGTTGCTCTGCATAAAATGAGTTCCTACAACAAAAAGACCGACCGAAAAATAGCAGGCAAGAAAATTAGAATAGCAATAATAGATGCTCTTTCAATATCTCAAGCTATATAGGAAATAATAACAGGATGATCATTGAAGCCAACCTCTACATGATACTGACTTTTTAGGATAATTCTCAAATTGTTCACAAATCAGAAACAATATAACTCAATAATGGCAATTCGTTTTTGGGCAAATTACATTTTACCCCCTTCAACTATTACTTAATATTACTTTACCCCCGTCAACGGAAAAATGCTTTCACTAATGATCTCACCATTTTCAAGTAGTTCGCATGAATGCACGAGAAACTCTCCCCGGAGATAAAAAAGCACCTTGGACTATAATTTGTATCAATATGTACCTTCCATTAAGGATCCATTATGTAGATAGATAGGAAAATGACATATGACTTGCAGATGACATCTCAAATACAGTGGATTGCCTCTTTTTTCTTCTTTTCTTCTATCCGTGTTGGCAACGATGGCAGCCATGGCTGCTGACATGGGTACGAGAAACAAGGGAAGGAGAAAGAGAAAAGGAGAAGAGAAGAATAAGGTCATTTATTTCACAATATTTAAGATGTCATGTGTAAGGCACATGACAATTTTCCATCCATGTATTTAACATATTCTTAATGAAAGATTCACATTGATACAAATTGATAGTTCAAGATGGTAACGTGTAGCATTTTTTAGTTTAGGTGTAAAATTATACTGAGTGATAGATAGTTCAAGGGAGTAAAGTGCGAACATTTCATTAAAGACTGCATTAAAGAATGCCACCTGTGTAAAAAAGTGAAGCAGTGTAAAAGAGCTTTACAAAATCTAAGAATTGGTCAAGAGACAAGTTAAATGATACCAAGTGATAGTTCACGAGGGTAAAGTGTGAACATTTCATTAAAGGCTGCATTTAGGAATGCCACCCGTGTACAAAAGTAAACAAATATATATATATATATGCACCACGTGTGTAAAAAAGCTTTACAAAATCTAAGAATTAGTCAAGAGACAAGTTAATAACTACCGACTCCCAACTATGCAAAAAAAAAAGCTTACATGTACTTTTAAGCCAATACAAAGAAGCCTCCATACCATGGAATATTTACAATTCTTCCTCTCCCTCAAATAATCCACATAATGAGAAAGGGATCAAAAGCTACAACTTCTTCCCTTCATTTTCCTATTCTAACCCCCCTGCCAACTATAAAAAAGCTCAACTATTTTGAAGGGGCATGCTGCTTTACACTAAATTTCAAGGAATCAACGGCCAAAGCTCATTTTCTATTTGGTAGTGAATGAGACGGTTATTGGAGTATGTGTGAAGGTAAAGTCCCACATCGGATAAAGAGTAAAAGAGATAGGTCTTAATATATATAAGATAGGCTCTCCACTTATAGGCTTAAGCTTTTAAGTGGGTATAAGTTTCAAATAATGCATGTTGGGCCTTGATATAATATTTTGTGGACTCTGGAGTTTCTCCCTGATAAATTAGATCGGTATTGTTGTGTGCTTGTGGGCTTCCTAATTCCCTAACAATTGGTATTAGAGCCAATGGCTAGCGATCCACGAACGGGGCTCTTCTAAAGCATTGATGTTGTTGGCCTTGGGTTTGCACGGAGACTCTTGGTGGAGCAAGAAAAATCCATGACGACTCTTGTTGGAGTAAAGAAAATTCTTGGAGCACATGGCAAGGTTGAAACACGACAAGGTGGCTCTCAATGGAGTATGGTGGCTAACGATGGAGTGTGTGCAGGGCCCAAGCTGGACTCGATGTTAGAGAGTTATAGATCAAGATTAAGGGGAGTGCATAGATCTATAATAAACTTGCTAATGATAGATCAGAATCGAGGAGGAGTAAGGTGAGGCCTGATGATTGGTTCACTCATGAGGAGGGGTTTGTTGGAGCATGTCTGAAGGTAAAGTTCCCACATCGAATAAAGAATCAAATAGATGGGTCTTAATATACATTAGATAGACTCTCCACTTATAGGCTTAAGCTTTTAAGTCAATATGAGTTCCAAATAATATATATTAGGCCTTGATGTGCCGTCTGTGGACTCTAGAATTTTTTCCTGATGGATTGGGCAGGTATTGTTGTGCACTTGTGAGCTCCCTAATTCCCTAACAACTGGTATTAGAGTCGATGGCATACAATCTATGGACGGGCTCCTCTGGAGCATTGATGTTGGTGGGCTTGGGCTTGGGCTTGGGCTTGCACGGAAACTCTTGATTGAGTAAGAAAAATCTATGATGACTCTTAGTGGAGCAAAGAAAAATACTTGATGCACATGGCAAGGTTAGACCACGACAAGGTGGCTCTCAATAGAGTATGGTGGCTCACAATGGAGTGTGGGGAGGTGGTCCAAGCTAGACTCGATGTTAGAGTGTTATAGATCAAGATTAAAGAGGGGTGTGTATGATCTAGGATGAACCCTGTTGATGATAGATCAAACTCAAGGGGGAGCAAGGCAAGACTCAATGTTTGGTTCACATAAGAAGGGGAGATTGTTGGAGTATGTGTGAAGGTAGAATATCACATCGGATAAAAAGCAAAAGAGATAGGTCTTAATATACATATAAGATGGGCTCTCCACTTATATGCTTAAGCTTTTAAGTAGGTATAAGTTCCAAATAATGTATGTTCGGCCTTGATATGGAATTTTGTGGACTCTGGAGTTTCTTCCTGATAAATTGGATTGGTATTGTTGTGTGCTTGTGGGCTTCCTAATTCCCTAACAACGGTGACTCACCAATCCGCTCTCCTGCTTATACATGCAACACCAATTCACAAATATGTGTCTTCTAGATCAAATTATCAATTGTGAGCATTTTACCATGAGTTGCACAACACTGGGAGGAAAAGGAAAAGAATACACCTTGTGGGGAGCCATACGACCCCAACATACCTCTCCATAGAAACAATGAAGTGTGTCAAGTAATCAATGCCTCCTAAAAAAAGCACCCTGATCGAGATAGATTTCATCTCAAAAAGAGTCTTCCCCTGATCCAATACTCAATATCTTGTGTAATTTCTCTAAGATCCTTGTCAACTCTATCAATTCCCAATCTTGAACCTCTTGCATAGCAAGATATCCCAACACACTTGAGTACCCTCTTTGTGATAAACAATAATCAAGTATCAACCACTATAGCATTCCTAATTTCCTATCCACTATCAAACACACACCATGCATGAGATCAAAAACTTCATCATTTTTGTGTCATGCCCTATGGCAGTACCAATTTTCCCCATAAACTTGTCACGTTCTTTTCTAATACCTCTCCAAATGTTTGCTCCATAAAACATAGACACTCAAGAGAATTCTAATCCCTCTAAACACCCACACTTCACAGCCACCACCCATTTCCACCATCTATGCCTTTCGTATAGGAATACCCCACAACCACTTTTTCAAAATGTTTGATTAAAAAATTTCTAACTTCCTTATACCATATCTCCTTCTCTAACATGAGTACAAATTGAGTCTCAATCTACCGCATGGCTACTTGAATTCATCCCCACCAACAAACCCCTCTCTATAGCTCTTTCCAACCTCTTAGCAGCGAAGGAAGGAATGGTAAACAAGGATATAAAATATGGGGCAAACTATATAATGGTAATATTACAAAAGTTTTGTATCTCAAAGTAAAATGGTTGTTATCTGGTTCAATGTGCTAACATTCTTTAATAATGAATTAAATTTTTAAATCAATTTGATTCCTCAGTAAATGGTCAAATATTCCCCGTTCAATTTATAATTCAGTGATAAGTACTAATTTAATTTTAAAGACTACATACATAAAATTATAAAGTCCTAATTTTGCATTGTCCCTTACCAGAATAGTTTCATGTTCATAGCAAATATATATGCTCCATTGTCCTCTAGGATTATTGACCAAATAAAATTAATGAGGTGACCTTTAGGATGTTAGCATTGAATTGGGTTGAGTAAAGCATAGCAGTACAAAAAATTGTCCCAATCCTAAAGCAACCTGCTTATAATGGAGGCCAAACAACCAGAACCTGAGACGATCATTTCAATTTCTTATGTCACCCCAATTTCAAACCTAATATTGTCGGCCCATTTCATATAACATTTTCATTGCCGCTAAACAATGTAAATTGCATGTAACTACTAAAATGTATGTGATGAGTAAAAACTCAAGTTACATTTTCACCATGCAATGTGTTTTTACTACACAAAATAAGCATATATTCATTTTCAAACCAAAACCTAAAAATTAATATCATAATCCACACAGGGAGGCACAGCCGCATATGTTATTTTTTGAATTTGGCATGGGCTTCTTCTCTTTTAAATTTGTGTGCCCCATATCTATACTATCTGTACTGTATTATGATGTGAGCATTTTATTTGGTGTGAACACTAATCTAAGTTGTCACGTTCAATAGATGTAAGGGAAAAAAATGAAAAAAATTAACTCTACATTAACTCTCCACGTCCATCTGTTTAACTCCCTGTCCATATTACAGTTGCAACTTGCAAGTGGTTTTTAACTTTTCTCTCACAAATCTTAAAACTACAAAATTTTATTTCTCACAAATATCAGTTCAAACAAGAAGAGAGGACAGTGAAACCATAAGAGAGAGAAGATGGATGAGAAAGAAGATGGATGAGAGTGAAGAAGGATGGGAGTGGAGAGGAGATGTTTTGCAATTTGCACATGCATTGCATGTGCACAACTGCTAGTTATCAATTATTGGAGGATAGTCTGTATTTCACTCATGAGGAACTTGGAAAGAACAAAACAAAGTGAGAATTGCAAATGTTATCCATGGTTTTTCTTTTCTTTATTCCCTAGTAGAAGTGAATACTCTGCAGACATATCAAAAGCACGGACATGCAAACTCAAAACAACAACATACAAGCCCAACCAAATTCCAAGGTGTATGTACTTGACATTGGAACTTCTTTCTCTTTGTTCCTCTACGTTTTTCTTTGGCCAGTTTAGTTGGCAATGTGTACATAGAATCATGTGGAAGTCTCCAATAAAATACTGAAATTTTCAAAGGAGATCTAGAATGTCCTTACAATGAAGATATGCTACAACTTTCATTCCTAACAGGTGCTTCAATATTATAGCGTTTTTCCTTGTGTCTCAAAAGGCAACAAAGGAGCTCCTCTCTCTCTCTCTCTCTCTCTCTCAAAAGGCTACATGTTTTCAATTGTCTCAAGAATATACTCAAATGTTTTGTATTTCCTTTATTATTCTTTTGTTTAATGAGGAGTCCTACAAAAAGTAGAAGCAAGAGTTAGAATTCTACAACTGGTGCTAAATCCAAACTATCTAGAAGATTCCAAGTTTTCATTCCTTGTAACCAATCCTACCCTCGACCTCAAAACAAGCTATCTAATCCGAAAGAATAAAAAGATCAATAGCTCCTTTTCCTGTTCTTCATCAGCTCACATCTAAATGTAGCAAAATTAGTCACAGTTGATGCTTCAAAATTCCAAAATAAAAAATAAAAGACTTCATTATCATCTCAACTCAACC